GTCGCCGGGTGTACGCGATTGAAACTCTCTCGATGCCTCGAGCCCGGATCACTTCGGACAAGTTGCAAGCAGTTTCAAGTAGCTCTGTGTAACCGAGCGTGATATAGTACCCTCTTGTGATGTCTCCTCCATTATGCATGCACAGACAGGCCGGTAAATATGTGCATGCATACCTGCGAATCCCTCTCGTTCTGCATATGAATGCTCGGCCGAATGCGGAAGCTACGAACTGCCTATTTATGCGCTTCTACTCTCCGAGAACGTGACGTCTGCGCGGCTTTTAATATCTTTACCTGTCAGCGTGTTTGCAGGTCTGTGTTCGCCTGTGTGTGTGTGTGTGTGTGTGTGTGTGTACGATTGGGGATTTGAGTATGTACATGTGTGATTGTTTGTATGTATGTATGTGTGTATGTACGTGTGTTTTGATTTCATACCTGCCTACTTATGTAAATTTGTTTGCATTTCCTCTCCCTCTTCCCAAATCTTAATGGCTCGTCTAGGTATAGGCCTTCGCATCCTAGGCATAGCTACCGAGACCGCCTGTCCTCTACCAAGTCAAGGCCAGTCGTCCTGCCTCGAGACTGGGGGTGCAAATGTTTCAATTCTTTGGGATGAGGTGTGGCGGTAGCGGTGGCAGCGGCAGCGGCAGTGTCAGTGGCAGTGGCAGTGGCAGTGGCAGTTGCTGTGCTGCTGTGGTTACTACTACTACTACTACTGCTGCTGCTGCTGCTGCTACTGTTGCTGTCGCCTGAGCTGTTGTTTCTGGCAGGGTGCTGTCGAGGTTGCTCGGATAGCTCGGCTACTCGTGGGCAGCAGAGGCGCAGTACATTCGAAGTTGGCCATGAGCACACGTTCACATTTACATTCACATTGGCATTCACATTCACACTCACATTTACATTCACATTCACACTTTTAGCGCGCACACACACACACACAACAGCCGAGGTAACGCGTCGAGGGAGAGACATGTGCATACGCAAAGAATTAGTCGAGACCAAGGGGTGGGTTCGAGGTCGACCGATTTCAGGTACACCACCTACCCATCCATCCATCCATCCATTCACACTCCCCTCATCCCCATCTTGCCCATTTGGCAATCCCCAGCCCGGAATGGGCAGTGTTCCTCTTTCATACAGCCAACTATGAGATGATGGGCACAGGGACATAGAGATGATTGATTGTCCATGCCCTAGTGGGCCGCGACTTCTGCCCAAAGAAAAGTGAGAATTAACACGAAGTCGGAAGCCCCTTGACGTTTGTTCATATTCACAAATGCTCGCACACTCACGCAGACATTCGCCAGAGAATGTACACACGCACCAGGCAGATATTCACACTTTTGAGTGTGGTTGAGGTGTGCCGACGAGGTACTTACGCGAATGCCTAAGCCTAGAACTTGTATGTTCATACGAAGGCTCGTCTGTGATGGCAGATGAAAAGGCACCCACTCAAATGCAGCCTCACATGCGCGCAAAAGGAGGAGCAGGCAGGTAGGCCGTCGGTTTTGTATGAGTCTAGACGATGTGTGTGAGCAACAGTTTTGAGGGCGAGTCAAGGTGAGCCTATCCGTGACAAGATAAAAAGGCGCTAAGGCCAGACAGACATACAGGCAAACAAACAAACAAGCAAACAAACAAACAAACAAACAGACAAACAGACAAACAAACAAAGAAACAAACAAATGAATATCGTACTAATTCTCGCAAATGTATTCGACGACCTGGAAAGAGAAAATGACGTCTTTGGCCGCCACGAGAGTAACGTCAGACGTGAGCCGGTGCAGGTGGAGGGACAAGGAGCAAAAGAAAGCGATTGACTTGAGCCCACAAGTGCCAGAGCGAAGAATTGACAAACGAGCGGAACCTTAAGACGCCGAGGCGTAAGAAGTTGAGATTACAGCCCCAGTTGAGTCTGACGCTGGCTCTTCGGATTCCGCTGCTGTTCGAGGGCGTTGCTAAGATGAAGACGTCCGGTTGGATTCACCTTTTGAACGGAGACGTTAGTCTCGAGTAAATCCGTCTAATCAAAGGCTGATGTGAAGGAGAAAAGATAAGATAGGTCAAAGGGAAATATTCTCTTTGCCTTAAGGCCTGTAATGCCGTTCTGTAGCAACTGGCCCCTTTGAGAACAACGGAGAGAGGCTGTTTGGAAGTGGCGTCTGCTAAAGGCCATCACACCTGAAGTCCTATCAAATCGGGCCGAACTCTGCGAGAAAGACGCCGGACAGAGGCTGGCGTCATTTTTCCGCAAAAGGCCACTTGGACAGGTCATTCAAGGAGCACATCAAGTGCCACTTTTGGCCTCGGCTGGTTTGTTGCCGCCTAGTGAAATGTCCAAAACGGGGAAAAAAAGGATTCAATGTAGATAAGCTGGTAATCGTAGAATCCCTGAAGAGATTGATGCTGGAATATCTTTCAATGCTATGAAGTGTATTCGTCCTATTTCGCTAGTTGAATTGTCCCACAATTATATGAGTAGATTGTACATTAAATTTGACATAGCCTTGCTTTCCCACAAGTGTTCGCATCCAGTCAGGGATGGACTACAGTTTCGACCTCGCCTAGGTTTCATCAGCACCCCCAGCGGGACTCGAACGATGGCGAATAATGAGAATGCATCGTATAATCTCGACACGCTAACTGCTACGCCAGACTGCCATTAGTACGCTTGGCTCACAAGGCAGGCCAGACATTTTCCCATATCACATTCCGTGGCGGCATTCTCGATAAGGCAAAGTTGTATTTGCTAAGGCAATCGGCTAAATTAATTATTCGAAAGTATGAAGACCAAGATGGTGTGGCCTTTTTTTGTGGTCGCAGTCTCCTTCCATTGTATAGAAGTTGTTTGACCTTGTTTTCGCAACTTGGTCATAATGGTAGGAAGACTAATAGGAAAGCACCTCGAATTAGTCACTCAGGTGCAAGTGATGGACGAATTACGTCTCGAATAGCACAAATGGGGGGGGGGCAGGGGTCGAGTGAAATACATGTACTAGGGAGAT